TTTTAAGAGCGATAGCAACAATCCAGGATTAAAAACCCAAAGAGTTGATTTCGATTTTTACACGCCTTTCACGAGTCAGGCTTAAAGCTGGGAATACCTTTCCTTGATTTGGCTATCATCTATTCAACAGCTCGGTATTAGGGATATATTTATCCATATCACCTACAGCTCATTCTCCTGCACCACGACTGCGCTACAAAATTGACTTGTCGTACACGTTGGTTTCTCAAGTCTTAGGTCAAGAGGTATGGTAGAGGTTTGTTACTAGACATATTAAATTGTATTTACTAATCCTTCTTAACAAGAGAGATGACGCTTGAAGGCTGAGGATTAGAAGAAAACGACCCCGGAACTTGATACGATTCCCCAGACGCAGCCTGCACAAAGACGAGAATGCACGACAATGTCAGTATGTTGCATTAGTTCTAGCACTTACTGATTCCAGTGGTCTTTGGATATCCTATAGAGGGACGAAAACATGATAGGCAAGATGACATTCGAGTTTTCTTCAATAAGGCTCATAATATATTCGTTATTCCAGAAGTAAAGCGCTCGCTCGGCAACCTGGGAAGAAAAGAGAGAAAACGAGTCAAGTGATACAGTTCCTTGGAGAGGAGAGGCTATCGGAAGAGTCTGCGTTCATTCTCACGACCCCAATCTTTTTAAAGGTTATTCCACAGAATTGCATTTCACGTCCTTGCCATGCCTGATTTCATACGTAAGCTGTGCGCGTTCACAAGAAATCAGCGGCTTTACCCCTCAGGCTGGAGATCGCCAAAGAGGGAAATTATTATTTCCCTAGAGATAAAAAGGGGTAATCTACGCTAAAATTCTTGTTTTGTTTCTGCTGTTGTTGTGATTGTTTCATTTACTCGGTAGTGCCTTTCAATCGGTTAAAGTAGGCACAGGCACATTCTCAATAAAGAAAGGGAAACAATCTTCTTTAGGGTGATTGTAGAAAGGGTTTGTAAACGCAATAATGATGCCCTAATAGACAGAGCTGAATAACGTATACGCATGCGCTAGGTTTTGCCGCGGAAACAGATTTCGAGTTGTTCGCATGGCGTCTCTTTCCTTGCCACTTCTCTTTTACAAAAAAATCTCCAAAAACTTGGTACACCCCTTAAACATTTTCAAAAATTAATTTTCTCCTTAAAAACTCTGGAAATAGGAAAGTGCCTTCGACGAAAACAGAGTTCCTCGGTTAAAAGTCAGCCCTTATTATTTCCGCTACCCTGGTCCCAGAGGTTCTCTTCTCTCTACCTGAGTACGGGAATTCGGCGCGAAGCGCCGACCAACGAGCAGCAAGGCAGCGAGCGGAGAGAACCTCTGGTCAGGACCGTTGAGAATCTCACTTGCATGCCACCAAGCTTCGGGTGACAGCCATCAATCACGCCCCTTTCCGACAACCAATCAGAGGTATTTTACCCCAGAGGTATTTTAGT